AAATTCAGTCGATATTTTATCATAAAGCGAGGCAAAAAAGAAATTCATTTTGAATACTTTTTTTCACTCATTCATTGCAGAGAAACAATGCGATTTCTAATAGCACTATTTTCTGTGGTCTTCGCTTTGCATGTGCAAGGTTTGCTGATTTATATCTTCTCATTTCATTCTTTCATTGTGTAAGCAATGTTTAGGTCAAGCTACTGTAAGAGTATCTAATTACTATTGTAATGTAAGTGACAAAATTGTCGAATTTACATTCTCAACATCAGCTCATTCCGCGTGGCAGCCAATATTAACCTGTTCTTTACAACAATGCTATACAAGCTCAAATAGTAGTGACAGTTGTCGTTTATCATTAACACCTTGCTTCGACTACCGCACATTCAATAACATTAGTTACTGCGCACCTGCTATACTATGCTCTATTTTGGAACCATGTAATAATATAAATTATACTTGGGCACTAAATACTTCGGTATGCATCGTTAACTCGTGTTGTTCACCACAAGCAGTATGCTTACCATTGACATCGATGAATTTCTGTAGATCAGGTAAAAACACACTATACTCATATTTGTGAATGTAATAGGAAATCACTCAAACACTGTTGTTGAATTTTAGTTGATAGTTACTTTGAGTTTTTAAACTCTCGTTCGAAAGTGTTTTATCATTTACTGATAACAATACGAAAGACAGATCAATGCAAATCTGAAGGATAAAGTTAAAGAGACGAATGAAAAGAAAATGATATGGAAAATGTGAACACATTAAGCTTTTCTGTATAATCAGACAATAAGAGATTAACATGATAGTATCAATCTATGAGTAGAAAAGTTATCAGTTCTGTAATGTTTTCAAGTCTTGTTTTTCTGTTTTTAATTTAAAACTTGCATATCAATACAGTTTTCAGGCAAAGTATTATCAGCAATTCATAAGACTGGTTTTCTTAGAATGAATTGTGTATATGATTGCAACAATATTTGGGAAAATCTTTAATGAGATGTTTTCATTGTTCAACCTAGAAAAATCCTTTTTTATTCAAAATGTTGGATCCTACCAGCGTTCTCAACATGGTCGTACGTATTGTTTACATTAGATGTATTCATGTTTTCTGTTTGAGATAGTGCAATTTAGTATAAACCATTGATGCGTGTTGGTTTCAATGTGTAGAAGACCTGCTTCCACATCTCATAATCACTTATACCTACACCCATATCCACCAACACCCAGGTTCATGATCTAGAAAGATCATTTAAAAGCTTTTTAAAGGAAAAAATAGAATTGATATTAAAGTAGCAGACGGTCTTGAGTTTCACCCTCCTTAGGTGACCAGGGAAACAGTGGATCCCGGTGGATTCTTGAGCCGTAAAAGATTGTAGAATAGATTTATCGAAGTGTGTCAAAAGTTGCCAGAACTCACCGGAATCGAATACCGTTCAAAAATTTCAATACAATTTATCAGAGACAACCAGAATACAGCAAAAAGTGTTAAGCATGGCAATTATATGAAATCAATGAAGGAAGCGTAAATCGTGACGACTCCTTAAAACGCGCAGAATCCATCATGATATACTAAAACTTATTGAGACGCATAAACGTCTTAGGTATCCTCTTGATCTAGTTTTCTTGTTTGTCACAAATTCTGAACTCCTCTGCCGCTTTTTTCGCTTAGTTCCTTTTGATCTAATGGATCATTTCATCCAATAAGATTAATATTTTTCATCTTCTTGTTGACACGCTGCAAATAATTTATTCTATCATTTATCAAGTTCTGTCAGGATTTATAAGGGTTTACCATGATCATTATGGACCCGTAGATCCGACGATTCGCTTTTCACGCCCTTAGGATTTTATCAAAGTCAGAAAGATGTGGGGTGATGCTAGCATCGAATCCTACACCGACATCCACCACTGTGACGAATACATTTTCTGAGATTGAAGTTCTTTAAGACCTCACTTGTCCATTCAAATGATTCTCGTATCTCTTTTATATTGTGATCACTTTTAATAAAAGTAGAAAAGAAAGCTTTTTATTTCCGGCGAATACCGTCTGAGTCAGTCAATCCTATTTCACATGATTCAACAAGCAATCACGAAGAAAAATAGAATAAAATCTGGAGATTTAGAGCATTTTATTCTATTGATTCTACATTGAACAGAATTTTGTGAATTCTCCTTGATCTTTTATTTTTTGTCATGATATGCTGGCTTTTCTCACATTTTGAATTTTGAAATAAATTTTGATGAGTCGAAATCTGATTTTTCCCCTTTATTAGCACTATTGATTATACATACCAACGCTAAGAGAAAATTAAGATGTTCCTTCTAGTCTAACTGGCTTAGAAAATCTGCTGGGATAGTAAATTTTGGGGAAGGAGTCTTGTCTCATAATGGTCATTTGTTTTCTTCGTGCTTTCACATAACATTAGTTACATTGCTTGTGCTATAGTTCTATGCATATAGAAGCTGACACTCTTATGTAACATTTCATCAAGACACATATTTTTTTCATCCTCGATGTCTCTTCGAAATCGTGATTGAAATACAGTGATTACTGACTAAAATCATCGCTGGTATCCATCTTTTCAAGCATTGCCGAATCAACGAGCCTGACACTACTTCGGCATTTCTACCGTACTGCAGTTCTAACTTATGGCTATAGTCTTGGTGAAAACTTCCCGAACAGCAATACCTCTTTTCTCCAGATATTTTCAAAAAAGTCACACAACACTTATCATATTTGAGCAGAAAACACTCATTAATCGATTGTAACTTGATAGGATGACAGAATTTTTCACTTAATGTTCAAGATAAATTAGATAAAAGACCACTGAGTTAATCCTGAAAGCCATTATTCAGAATATAAGATATTGAAAATTTAACTAGGAGTTGCAGGCGAGTTTCCCGCGATTAAGCGACAGATCATCACATAGCACTAAATTGTTTTCCTCACCGGTATCAATCATTCCCTGGAAGTTATGCAAAGATAGGAAATAGATAGGTCAGCGGGCCGGTTCCCTATCATATTCGGATATATCTGTTTTGTTTTTCTTCGCAACCAGCAGTAATATATGTATCTGTATATGGTTTGCACTATCAACCGCGTATACGCATCAAAGTGTCGCATATAGCTTTTCTACATCCATCTATGTCCAATGCATATCTGTGTTTGTCTCCTATTGTTCATACTATTGAATCGTCTTCTTAGCTACACCTTGTCAGTTGGCATTTGTATCACAGCTCCTTTCTGTTGGATCTCGTCCGATTTCCGTTGCTGTCGGCGATTTTAACCTTGATAGAAATCCGGATGCCGTTGTCGCAAACTCGGGTGATAATACTGTGACTGTACTACTTGGAAATGGCATAAACGACACTATCCGGCAAGGAAGCTTTCCAACTGGCGCAAATCCACAATCAGTTGCTGTCGGCGATTTTAATCTTGATGGAAATCCGGATGTCGTTGTCGCGAACTCGGGTGATAATACTGTGACT